AGAATGACCACAGGAGTATTCTATAATTATCTATATTATGAAATATTTAGACTATAATTGGTGGAAGCTCTTCTCTGAATGTTTCATATAATTCACTGGTGAAGCCATCTAGGCTGGAACTAATTGGGCTTCGGAGTATTTTAATGACCTGTTCATTTTCTGTTTAAATTTTCTACCTCCATGCTCCTTTAGGTAGGAAAGTAGGTTCCTAAATATTTGCCTTTCCTCTAGGTTTATACATTTGTTGGAGTGTGGTCTTTCATAGGAGACACCAAAATCTTAAGAGCTAAACCTCAGGTGGATTACACAGTCAATATTTTTTGGACCAACCACTTGTATGGATAACATGATGGCAATGCTCTCTAAAAGCTTATAAACAAGAGAAACAGACTAGAACAAGAATTAAATATTACAGCTTTCAACATCAAGAAAACAAGAATCATCACTACTGGACTAATAGCCAACATGTTAGAGAGAGAAAAGACTTAAGTTGTTAACTACTTCATTTTACTCAGAACCACAGGCAAACCCATTGTTTAGCAGTTAAGAAATGAAGTCATATTGCATTTGGAAAATCTGCTGTCAAGGTCTTCCCCAAAGTGATAAAGAGCAATAATGTTTAAGACTACCATTGTCCATCCCATGGTATGTTAAATTAGAATTTAAAAAAAAGGGGGGGGAGGTTTTGTGCGGGGAGAAGGGTGCAACAATGAATGAATGGAATTCCAAAATCTCTGTAGATGTTCATTGAGAAATAAACAAACTAAATTGAAAAAAAATTCTACATAATGGCAATACTTATAAAAAAAACTACAAAAAAGAGAATTCTGATAATTCATTAAAAACAGATTTCAGAAAGCAAAACATAGCTTTCCCTTTAAGTACCGTCTTTCCCTTTAAGTACCGTAATACTTTAAAATTCTTTACACCATTCATATTAACAGAAAATAAAGATAATTCGTACCCTCATGGGTCTAATTTCCTCACACACTAACAATGCTATATCATACTCCTATAAAACCTTGCAACTTAAAGAGTGTTTCAGGAACCAACAGCACCATCTTTACCTGGAAGCATCTTAAAAAATACAAACTCTTACCACTCTCCCCCTACTCTGTAGAATCAGAATCTATATTTGAAATATGATTTCCAGGTGAAATTGCAAGAAACATTACTTAACTTGAATTCTAAAGGGAACTGACTTTCATGAAGTCCCTGAAATGACATGCAAAAATTCTGGTGAGTGAAAATATGTATATTTCATTCAAAAATGCACCATTTATTTTTATCAAACTCTCAAAGGAACATAAGACCCCAAGTAGGTTAAGAACCCATGCCCTATAGGATTTTATGCCATAATTACCATGTGCTAAGATTAAAAAAATCACAATACTTTAAAAACTATTTACACTGCTCTCAATGAGGTCTGTTGAAGAATGACAAGAATGAAGGTCAGAACGTGACAGTGGGTCATGAAAGACCTTATCTGAAGAATTTATTCACACCATGCAAGAACTATGCCAAGAAACCAGTTTGGAGACATCTAAATAAATAATTCTCTACATGAGGCTTGAGATTAAGAATGTGCACTTGAAGAAGATTCAAACTGAGAAGTAAATAAATATAAGGCGGGATTTAAAAAAAAAGATGCCATTAAATGACAGCAAACCACTGAATTCTTGTTTAAGAGCTCCATCAGCAAATTTCTAAGACAAATTGTTTGATTTGGGATATAGAGTCATTTTTAAATGTTACCTTCCAATTACATTCACGTAGTAATTGCTTTATGAGGAACCCTGAGTACATTTTACGAGTCTCACTTCCATCATTCTCTCTGGTTCTCTGAAGACAAAGAAAAACCCCCCAGAAAGTAAAAGGGACTTGTTCTTAGGATTTTACAATGAGTTTCGGGGTAGAAGACAGCTTCTATAGAGAAAGTTCTCATCAGCATATGACAACTGTATATATATTTCATCTTTTCATCTAATCATATCTTTAGAATATGAATTCTCTTAGGACAAGGATCATGTCTAATTTCTGTTTCCTTAAACCAAGAGTCTGACAGAATCTCACTTCCTTCATGGGCACCCAGAATATAAGAAAAGGAATTCATTGGTCCTTCTTGAAATGATACTTTATTTACATTCTTATCAATGATAGTCTGGCTTCCAGAATGGGTTCACATCCTACTGTAACAATAATTCCAGGCAAGAAAATATTAGAGAAGTATTCAATATAGCCAAGGAGTCCAGGTGGTATAATAGTTAAAATACTTGACTACTATTCTTAGGGTTGGCAATTCATACCCATCAAAACTGCTCTGTGGGTGAAAGATGAGGCCACTGCTACTGTAAAGACTTATGCCTCAGAAACTCTATGGGGCAGTTTCCCCCCATCCTACAGGGTTACTCTCAATGGTACGTAACAACAACAATAAAATAGGGTTGCTAGAATTTAGACCCAATAACAGGGGCAGAGATTCAGAAAAACTCCTTTCTGTCCCTTCAAGCAACCCATCTGTTCTACCTTAAATGGGTTCATGGAATAACATTTTTTTTTTCTTTCTTCTACTAGGAGCTAGAGAGCTTTGGTGGTCTAGTTGTAAGGAACTGAGCCGTCATCCCAAAGGCAAGTGGTTTGAATCTACCAGCTGCTCTGCAGGGAAAAAATGGGCAATCTCCTCTCGTGTAATTAAAGTGTCTTTGAAAACCCACTGGAGGGTCAGCTATGAGTCAGTTCAAACTCAATGGTATACTGTAACAACTAAGAGCTATTAAGTGTTCTTGTTATCCCAGTACATTTGGGATTAGGATGGTACCTTTTTTGTTTTTCCTTGCTGTGTACGGTCGAATCCTATCTGACTAGCACAGGAGGAGACTGCCCCTTCTTCTCCAGCGGAGCGTCTGGTGGATTCAAACTGTGTTCCTTCAGGACTGCAGCACAGCTTCTTGCTACTAGGCTACCAGAGCTCCAGGATAACACTTTTAAACATGAGTCACTCTGTTAATATATCTTATTTACATAACAAACATACTGACAAAGTATGTATTTCAACCCAAAAATACTCATTTAAATTGAAGGCATGTGTCATCTCAATAATGGAAACCTTATAAAAGCATATACAGCATCTGTTCTAATTTTAAATCCTTGTAAAAGCATACACAGCATCAGCTCTGAAGTGAAAAAGGATTAACAACAGGAATAGGCACACTGACAGCAGTGGACATACCAGGGGTCAGCAAGGAAAAACAACAAAACCAGGACAGAGACTAATAAATTCTGATCAACGCTGAAAGAGTCAGCACCAGGAACAACTTGCTGGTGCACAGACTACTACTGACTAATGACCATACTATGTTTCCAACAGATTAAACATGTTAGAAATTTAAATAGTGTCAAGTTTTAGGATATAACTTTTGGGGTGGGGTGGGGTGGGGTTATGTGATCAAGATTATGGGTATGTATGTCACAAATTCTCCCCACAATCACTCATAAACTCATTTCTTTGAGAAAGGTATTCTAAACTTTTTGGAACCTTTTAAGATTTCCAAGCTTACAACCTTTCTTTGGGTAAAGGGGTCTTCTCACTCACTGCATACTGTTGGCAGTAACACCTTGTATTTGTTCCAAATAACTTTGCTCCAGTTTCTGTGGAAGCTACCTAGATTTAGTCTGCAAATCAGGTAAACTTACTTAATACAGCAACTAGTCAGCTGAGAATCAGAAAACTATTTTTTTTAAAATGTATCTCATTTTAAATGTCAAACATTCTTTTAGGTGATATAGCACTGGTCTGTGAATTGCTGTGAAGAGGCAAGTCGTGGTTGCTATGATGCTGAACACTGTGAAACTGATGTGCCAAATATGGTAACGGTTACCCATGGTGGACAGTGTTGGCTGGAGCTTCCCAACTAAAACAAGCCTGGAAGCAGGAACGGCATCACTTCCAAAATGGCCTGCCTCGGAAACTCTATGTATGAACAGTGGTCAAGCCTTTTGTTTATAGGGTCGCTATGAATCCTCTACGACTTGACAGCACCCAACAACAACAACAACAAATGTATCTCTTCTGGAGGAGCGGCAAGCAATCTCCTCCTGTACCAGTCAGATACAATTTGACGATACATACCAAAAAAAACGATAAAAATTTTTAAAAAAAATCATTTAAAAAATGTATCTCTTAAAGAAACAATCTAAGATACCTTATTTTATCTTCAGTTCCCTCAAATTGGGTATCAACTGTACCCCAAAATAGCATTTAATGTCCAGAAGACTACATGATGTTGTTAGATGCCATTGAGCCAAACATGGCTCAAAGTGACCCCATGAACAACCAATCTGAACCCTGATCTATCATGTGTCAATCTCACAATCTCTGACACATTCAAGTCCACTGCTGCAGTCACTATGACAATCCACTTGGCTGGGGGTCTTCTTCTCATTCTCCATCCCCTCACCTTTCCAAGCATGATGAAATAGAAGATCACATAGGCTGCAATAATTGCACCATTTAAAAAAAAAAAAGCAGCATGCTACTGGTACAATGACAGGCACACAGATCCATGGAACAGAATAGAGAACCCAGAAATGGACTCAGCTATCTATTATCAACTAATATTCAACAAGGAAATCAAAGCTATCAAATGGGGAAATGATAACCTCTTCAACAAATGGTACTGTCAAAACCGGACTGCTAACTGCAGGAAGCTGAAAGAGGCTCCAAATCTCACATCATACACAAAAATCTACTGAAGGTGGATCAAAACCTGGGAATAAAGCCAAAACCATAAAGTTCATAAGAGACAAAATGGGACCAAGGTTAGAAGTCCTAGTCTATGGGATAAAGCCAAATACAGCCAGAAATGTACAATCTGAAGAGGATAAAACTGATGAATGGGATCTTCTAAAGATTAAATCTCTGTGCTCATCATTAACTACACTTTAAACATACTCAATTTATTCATAACAATAATTTCATTTCTCAGTTTAGATTTAGTTACCTCTTCATCATCCTCCTCATCTTCAACATCCAGAATTCCTGAGTCCTGTTCAGACTTGGGACTTGTGCTTTCGATCTCTGTGTCAAAGATGGTATATGCATCTTTCTTTGACTTTCTCTTGCTGCCTATTCTGGGTTGTTGCAAGATAATGTTATCCAGGTTTCTTTGTTGTTGGGCCTAGGACAGAGATACACAAACATAAAAAGAAAAAAGATGATGATGAGTAAAAAGAAATGAACAGGATTAAACATTTAAACAAACTGGTATCATCAAGAAAATACAACAAACTACCTAATAAACAATTAAAATTGATGGATGTAAAAATTACTAAAAGTATATGATTATGCCCCTTATTATATATTCTTCCACTTCCCTTCCCATCCCTGATAAACATTCAAGAATGTTTCATCCATATGTGAATTTTTCCTCAAAATTTTTCATTGTTTTTATATAGTATTTGTCCTCCTGTGATTGACTTATTTCACAACACATAATGTTGTCTAGAGGCAACAAGGAACTGTCAGAAATTCAAACAAGATTTAGAACAGGCTGTGGCACTACGGACTATCATTGCTTATGTAAGATGGATCGTGGCTGAAAGTAAGGAATACCAAAAGAATGTCTATTTGTGCTTTATTGACTATACAAAGGCATTTAACTGTGTGGATCATAACAAGTTATGGCTAACAGTGAGAAGAATGAGAATCCCAGATCACTGAATTGTGCTTATGCAAAACCTAAACCTAGACCAGGAGGCTGTTATGTGAACAGAGCAGGGAAACACTACATAGTTTAAAATTAAGAAGGGAGTCTGTCAGGGTAATATTTCTCTGCATACCCATTTAATCTGTATGCTGAGCAAATTATTTGGGAAGCTGGAGTCTATGAAGAGAAATGTGGCATCAGGATTGGAGGGAGAATCATCAACAATTTATCTTATGCAGATGCCACAAACTTGCTTGCTGAAAGTGAGGATTTAAGAACTTGTTGCAGAAGATCAAGGAATGCAGCCTTCAATATGGATTGCATCTCAATGTCAACAATACAAAGATTCTTACCAATGGACTGACAGGCAACATCATAACAGATGGAGAAGATACCGAAACTGTCAACAACTTCATCTTATTTGGATCCACAATTAACACCTTTGGTACATAAGTCAGGAAATAAGGAGACACACTGCACTGGGAAAATCTGCTGTTATGGACCTCTCTAAATTATTAAGGAATCATTATGTCAGTTTGTGGACTAAGGTATATAGTATATCTGATTCAGGTCATGGTCTTTCTGATTACTTGCTATGCATCTGAGAGCTGGACAATAAATAGGGTTAATAGAACAAGAATTGATGCCTTTGAGCTACAGCACTGGAGAAAAGAACTGAACATCCCACGGACAAATATGAATAAGTCTTGGAGAGAGTGCAACCGGAGTGCTCCCTGGAGGAAAGGATGATGAGGCTTCACGTCACATACTATGGGCATGTTGCTAGGAGGGGCTATTTAGTGGAAAGGGACAAGATGCTTAGAAGGGTAAAGGGTCAACAAAGGAGAGGAGGGCCTTTGCCCAGCTGGACTGACATGGTGACTGCCTCAGTGGGCTCTAGTGTGTCAGGATGTGTGAAGATGGCACAGGACAAAACTAGGTTCAGATCTTTTGTTCATAAGGTCACTATGTCATACTTGACCTGACAGCACCTAACAACATCGCCTATCTTTTCTCTACACTGTTTTGTGAATTCTTTGGTGTTTTTTTTAAACTATTGTATAGTACTCCATTGCATAAATGTGCCATAATTTCATTATCCATCTGTCTATTAATGGACACTTGGGTGCTTTCAATCTCTTTCCTATTATAAATAAGGCTGATATGAAATGAGTATATCTATTCATATTGTAGTTCTTGTTTCATTAGGATATACACCTAGTAGTGGGACTGCTAGGAAGTCTTGGTTTCTGAGTGGGAAGGAGTTGTGCTGCTAATCCAAAAGTATGGTTCGAACCCACCAGCTGCTCCACAGGAAAAGGATAGGCAATCTCCTCCTGTGTGATCTACTGCTTCTGGAAATCCACTGGAGTGTCAGTTATAAGTCAGTTCCAACTTGATGGTACAGCAAATAGGAATGCTAGATCAAATGGCATTTCTATTCCCAACATTGTAAGAAAACACTAAAACTATTATGCAAAGCGGTGCACCACTTTAAATCCTCATCAGTAGTGAATAAAGCCTCCTACTTTTCCATATCCTCAATACTTGTTTTTCACTGTATTACTTGTTGTTATGTGCTGTCGAGTCGTTTACGACTCATAGCGACCCTATGTACAACAGCCCTAAACTCTGCTCTGTCCTGTGCCAATTGCACTGTCTCCTACATACCCATCCCAATTACCCCAGTCACTGATGCAATCCACCTCATAGACGGCCTTCCCCTCCTGTGCTGTCCCTCCACCCTGCCAAGCATGATGTCCCTCTCCAAGGACTGGTCCCTCCTTACAACATGTCCAAAGTATGTTAGACGGAGCCTCAGAATCCTTGCCTCCAAGGAGCCTCCCGGGATGACCCTTTCCAGGATGAATCTGTTTGTTTTCCTAGCAGTCCATGATACCCTCAATACTCTTCTCCAGCACCACAGCTCAAAGGTATCAATTCTCCTTCTAGCCTCCTTAGTCACTATCCAACTCTCTGATGCATAACAAGTGATTGCAAAGACCATGGCCTGTATCAGATGCACCTTAGTTTCCAGAGAGACACTACTGCTCTTCAGGACTTTGGAGAGGTTCCTAACAGCAGACTTTCCCATGGCAATACATCTTTTAATTTCCTGGCTACTGGTGCCGAGAGTGTTGGCTGTGGAGCCAAGCAAACTAAAGCTGTGAACAATCTCAGTCTCTTCACCATCCATCCTGATGCTGCCAATTGGCCCAGCAGTGAGAATCTCTGTCTTCCGGATATTGAGCCTCAATCCATATTGGAGGCTACAGTCCTTGACCCTCTGCAGCAAGTGCTTCAGATCCTCCTCAGTTTCGGCAAGCAGGGTTGTGTCATCTACATAACACAGATTGTTGCTAGATCTTCCACCAATCTTGACCCCACACTCCTTCTTATAGAGCCAGCCCAGCCTCACGGATAATCTGTTCTATATACAGGCTGAAAAGGTATGGAGACAGGACACATCCCTGGTGTACGCCCTTCCCAATTTTGAACCATGCAGTGTTTCCTTGCTCTGTTCTGATGACTGCCTCTTGGTACAAGTATAGGTTTCTCATTAGCACAATCAAGTGTTCTGGGATTCCCATTCTTCTCACAGTCAGCCACAGTTTGTTATGATCCATACAGTCAAACGCCTTTGCATAATCAATGAAACACAGATAGACATTCTTCTGGTATTCCCTGCTTTCAGCCAAGATCCATCTAACATCAGCTACAATATCCCTAGTACCATGACCCCTTCTAAACCCAGCCTGGACTTCTGGCAGTTCTATTTTTGCTGGGGTGAGATGCTTTCTCACTGTTGTTTGGATGTGCATCTCTTTTATGACCAAAGGTCCTGACAAAGACAAGGAAAAAGAAAAGACCAAAATAAATGGATGTCAAAGACTGAAACTTCCACTAGAATATAGAAAGGCCAAAACAAATGGAAGCAATGCTGAAAGAGATGATCAGAAGATCCCAAAGGGCAGCTCAAGAAAACAAAGTATTATAACCAAATGTGCAAAGAGCTGAAGTTATAAAAACAATAGTGGAATACAAGTTTAACATTTCTCAAGTTGAAAAAACTTTAGAATAAATGCAAGCTTTACACTGCAAAATTGAAGGATTTTATGGGCAAGAGGCTGAAAGTATCAAAAGAAGATAGAAGGAATGGGTTAACACTAAGGTATTTCAGGAAGTAGGATATGATCAAGAAACAATGTTAATGAACGAGGAAGTTCAAGCTGCATTGAAGGCATTGGCCAAAAATAAAACCACAGGAGTTGATGGAATACCAATTGAGGTGTTTCAGGAAGCAGCAGGCCTGGTTGTGTTTATGAATCTATGCTAAAAAAATTTGAAAGACAGTCAATATGCCAACCAACTGAAAGCAATTCATATTTGTAGTCATTCCCAAAAAAAATGATCAAATAGAACACAGGAATTATTGAACAATATCACTAATATTACACATAAGCAACACCGCGCCAATTGGTAGCACCATGATAGATGGAGAAGAGATTGAGTTTGTTAACAATTTCAGCCTGTATGATTCCACAAACAACACCCTTGGCATCAGCAGTCAGGAAATGAAAAGGCAAATTACATCAGGAAAACCTACTGCCAGGGACCTCTCCCGAGTGCTGAAGAGCAACAATGTCAATTTAGAGCCTAAGGTGTGCCTGATCCAGGCTATAGGCCTCTGATACACCCATCCCGATTGCCCCAGTCACTGAATCAATCCACCCATAGAGGGTCTTCCCCTCCTGCGCTGTCCCTCCACCCTACCAAGCATGATGTCCCTCTCCAAGGACCAGTCCCTCCTTGCAACATGTCCAAAGTATGTCAGACGAAGCCCCAGAATCCTTGCCTCCAAGGAGCAGCCCGGGATAACCCTCTCCAGGATGAATCTGTTTGTTTTCCTAGCAGTCCAGGATACACTCAATACTCTTCTCCAGCACCACAGCTCAAAGGCATCAATTCTCCTTCTAGCCTCCTTAGTCACTATCCAACTCTCTGATGCATAACAAGTGATTGCAAAGACCATGGCCTGTATCAGACGCACCTTAGTCTCCAGAGAGACACTACTGCTCTTCAGGACTTTGGAGAGGTTCCTAACAGCAGACTTTCCCATGGCAATGAACCTTTTAATTTCCTGGCTACTGGTGCCAAGAGTGTTGATTGTGGAGCCAAGCAAACTAAAGCTGTGAACAATCTCAATCTCTTCGCCATCCATCCTGATGCTACCAATTGGTCCAGTGGTGAGAATCTTTGTCTTCTTGACATTGAGCCTCAGTCCATACTGAGGGCTGCAGTCCTTGACCCTCTGCAGCAAGTGCATGAGGTCCTCCTCAGTTTCGGCAAGCAGGGTTGTGTCAGAGAGCTGTACAATGACCAAAAAAAAAAAGCTTTTAAAAAGAAACAAAAATTTTGGTTGTCAAATGAGAAACTCTGAATAGTATGTGTATTCTTATAAAAACACAATG